CATTGTTATATTGATTCTATTTGTGTGTGAAAAATATATATATGATGTGATTTATTATTATTTGGTATTCTCGATTTTATCGCAGTGGGTTGCGGAAGATACATGACTGCAAATGAATGTTATACATGTTTGCGTGTGTGAACATATACTCGGTGAATACATGTCTTGTGCTGTGTTTTATTTGTTTGTGTTCCATCGTGAGCGTGATATTAGAAATTCGTGTTCATGCAGCAAGAAACTAACTATACGATTGAGCTTTATCATTTTGCTAGATCTCCAGATGATAGGTTTGTATTTAAAGGTATAATTTAGGACTGTTATTTCATGCATCTGTTGGTGCGTGATTTTTTGTGGTTGTAGTAAACTTTCTGAGCTTTTTATATTGGTTTGTGGAGTTTTTTTATTGTATATTAATGTGTTGTGTCGTGAGTTTTTTGTCAGCTAGTTTTGTTTTGTGGAGTATATTTCTAAGTGGGGTATTTGTTTAAATGAGGTGAAGATTTACTTTGGTATATTGTTCGGGAGATCTTGGTCGCAGTGGGTGCTATAGTGGATTATCTCAGTGTGATGGGTGTTTAAAAAAGCTTCAAGAAACACCTGTAAAGAGTGGCACAAAAAGAGAGGAGTCCTAGAGAAATAAAAACTTGAATGCATTATACAGCAAACTAATAAAATATAAAAACTACAGATTCAACAAGTATTCGTGTATGAACGCCTTGGAACAAAAAAACTTGATATAGTCACATAATTCTGAGCTGAGTATCACAACAGCAAGGCATTAAGTTGTGTTTAATGAAGCCTAAAGAGTGTAGTATTAGTATCTTATGAATTCTTATTTAGTGGAGTATTGAGAATTGTTTGTTTTGATGGATTTTGTGGTGTGAGTGTATTCATTGTATATATGTTTAGTAAACACCGTGCTCCTTAACGCAGGGCTTGCTCTGGATATCAGGATGAGTTTGATGCAGGAATTGTTGATCATTTTCTTGTGCTGGTTGAAAACGCTAATCTGCTTAGTTTTACTTTTGATGGCTTTTACTTGTGTGACTTTGTGGGTCTAGTTTTTCAGATTCCGGATACGGTTGTGCTCTGTATACTCCCCAAACTTGCGGATGTTTTTAAAAGTAGATTATTTGTTAAGATGATAGTGTGTGCTTGTGGATTATAAGTGTCGCTGTTCCGCTGTTAGATGATAAGGACTTTGGGTTGAGTTGTGTTTGTGTGGTTTTTAGGTTGGTTCAATTTAATATTTTTCACTGAGTGAATTGGAGTACACAACAATGCAGGTGAATTCTGTTGGAAAGTACGTTGCAGTATTTGATTTCCGCTTGTGGTGTTTATATGTTAAACAAGATTTACGATGTACAAGTTGGAATACCTGATTGCTCATGACGGTTGGTATATAGAAGGTCTTCCATGGAAAGCAGTGGATCATTTTTATAGAGGATCGAATTGCTGTGAATTGTGTGAGTGGCGATTGCTGTGATTATTATCGTTGTGATGGCATCTTGTAGGAGAGTGAAAGCAGACAGTACAATCTGAGGTGGCACTAGTGTTTCCTTAGAAGTGTGGTTGGCTATGTTGCTGCTATGTTGAGAAATTGAACAGGGTTGTACGAGTTTGGTAGATGAGATCCCTCAAAAATTTTCTTTGTATACGACTTGTCTTGTTTGTCGTAAAACTGTAATCAATCTTAGAATATGGTGTAAGGGAACTATGCGTGTATGCTGACAGATTGCTCATTATGACTGGGATTTGAGGTACACTTTAGATAATCGTTTCATGACGTTTGCACCTTTCTTTTTAGGTTTAGAATGACAGGTTGGTCATTTATATAGCTCATAGGATCCTGTTCGCGGGTGTGTCGATCGTTTGGGTGATGTGTTTGGATATTCGTTCTCCTGTCTCAGACTTGATGAAACGTTGGTAGATAGCTTGTGTTATGGTTGCTTCTTAATAAGAGGTGTTTTCACCATCTTTTTTTTGTTTATATATATATTGATAAAGTGCTTAGGTGCTCTGTTTCTTATCGCAAGCCGCGTGGGTAAGGGGTTGATCGGCATTTGCGTAGTGTGACGATGTTTTTTTAATTACAACGTCTTATCATGCTCGATTATTACCATGTGGTCATACATTAAGTAGTAGGCAGTTATTCCTGATTCCTGGACTACTATGAAAATGTCTGTGCTTGAGAAGGATAGTGTGGCTTAATATGCTTGGAACTGAGTAATTGAACCACATAGGCTATTTTTTTTATTGTCCAATTCTTAAAGATTAAGTGGTGCAATTTCATAGACACTGTAAGGAGTGTCAGATTAGATGGAACATCATATTCTTGTGGGCATTTAGTTGGACTTGATGGTACGTAACTCTGTGACTACTTCGTCATCTGCGCTTTGATATGTGTGAGCATGAAAGCAAGTTGTCGTTTTAACTAATGTTGCTTAATTGGGGAATTGTTAATATATGGTGGTGAATCTGTTCTCTGAGACCACTACTAGAGATTCATGCAGGGATTTAGTGTATGACTCTAGGGGAAAAGTGCCTCTGCCGGCAGTGGATTGTTGTTAAGTTTGAGTGGAGAGTAGTTTCGGGCCTCGCGATTTTTTTCTATGTAGTAGTGATGGAGGATAATACTATGTATATTGAGGTGTTTGCTTGGTGCCGTTGGTTGGGGAATATAATATGTGGCCTTGTGTAGGTTGAGAAGCCGTTTACTATGGCTGTGGTTTGTCCAATATGGAATAATAACGTAGCCCCAGGTCTAAGTGCTGTGGGTGATTATACTGCGTTAGAGGATGGTACAGTTGTTCTCACTGCTCCGTACCACTGGCTGAGTGTAGTCAGTTGTTATCAACTAGGACAGACATGTCTTGTGTAGGTTGGGTGTACATACTGCTCAAAGCCGGTTTATTTGTCTGATCATATACTAGTAACAAGGTGTCTCTTACGACTGTCATTAGTGGGTAGTCTTATTGTGTTTCCTCACAATTACGTCTGGTATTTTTGAGTGGTTTTATCTTGGTGTGTTGGTTGTGCGTGGTGTGGTTTGCGTGGTGGGGGATGTGAGCTTATAGTGTGTTTATGTAAGGTAAGTTTGGGTTGTGGTATTACTTTATTAAGTAAGATATGAAATGCTGTAACATGAGTTTCTCTTCCGGGTGCTGATTTGTGTGGTGGGGGTGGGCTGGTTAAATGTATGCAGCAC